AACACTTTGGGAGGCCGAGGTGGGAGGATCACTTGAGCCTAGCTGTTCAAGACCAGCCTGGGCAACACAGTGAGACATCATCTATACAAAAACACTTAAAACTTAGCCAGGTGTGGTGGTATGCATCTGTGGTCCCAGCTGCTTGGGAGGTTGAGGTTGGAGGATCCTTAAGCCTGGGAGATCAAGACTCGAGTAAATCCTAATTACGTCAAAAAAAAAAAAAAAAAAAAAGTCCAGAGTTAACATTATAATTAATGGTGAAAGACTGGATGCCTTCCCCTAAGATCAGGAACAAGACAAGGATATCCACTCTCAGTACCTAGTCACGAATATACTGTACAATCTAACCAGACAATTAGACAAAAAGAGAGAGAGAGCGCGAGAGAATGAACGAACAAACATTTAGATTGGAAAGGAATAAGTAAAACTGTTTCAAGATAACATGATCCTGTATACAGAAAATCCTAAGACTCCACTAAAAAAAATTAGAATTAATAAGTTTAGTAAGGTTGCAGGATATAAGATTAATATGCAAAAATCAATTGGATTTTTATATATTAGCAATAAACAATCTGAAAATGAAATCAAGAAAGTCTCACAATAACATCAAAAACAAAAAATACAAATACATTTTTTAAAAGAAGTATAAGACTTGTATGCTAAAAACTGTAAAACACATTGGAAAAATTTTTAATTCAATACCTAAACACGTGGAAAAACATTCTATGTACATGGACCAGAAGACTTACTGTTGTTACAATGCAGTACTCCCCAAATCAATCTAATTCAAAATAATCCTCTATCAAATCCTAGCTACTTTTTTGGCAGAAACTGACAGGCTGATCCTAAAATTCATATGGAAATGCAAGAGACCCAGAATAACCAAAACAATGTTGAAAAGAACAGAACCAAAGGACTCACACTTCTAGGTTTTATAACTTTCTGCAAAAGTAAAGTAATCAAGACAGTGTAATATAGACAAATAGCTAAGGATAGATATATAAATTGATATAATAGAACTGAGAATCCAGAAATAATATACCCTT